CAGGCCCACATCATCGTCCAATCTCACTGTTCCTCAAACGCTTGCTGCTCGCGTTGCTCATTGCCAGCGAGATGAACGTGCTGAACTGTGCCTGCTTGCCTGACCCAACTGGGCTACCTTGGACCTCAGTTCAGCTCCGCTCATCTTACCTCACATCGACCGCACCGAGCAATTAGCGGCGTGACAGCGCCTGATTTACCGTTAACATGCGGCAAATGTTTACAATCGCCGCAAGCAGTTAATTTCTAAAAATAGTCAACAAGCAGTTGGACCCTTTTAACGCATCTTTAGCAAGTATACGCGCACACTCATATCCATACTTACACATTTATGCCGGCACAAATATGTATCTGTGCAACCACATGACAGCCTTTCGGTTGCGTCCGTACACTTTTGCTCGCTGATTTCAAGCCGTAAATTTCCTGCTTTTCCTCGCCTTGTGGCGGCGGCAGCGCCGGCTACCTAAGCTGTAAATTGGCTTTTAGAGGCCAATAGCTGCTACTCACTGCTGCGTTGATTTCCGCGGCTTTCGTTTCGCTATTTTGTGGGTTGTTTTTGCGTTTTTGTTGGCTGCCTGGCTTTCAGCTCTCCAGCCAGCCACTTCCGCTGCTTGCCAGCTACAGCTAACCGCCGCATGAACTTTACTTGCCCCTCTCTGAGATTTGTGTGTTGGTTTGGGTTTGCAATTTTGTTTTCGTTCTTTTTGCAGCGGTTCACCAAAGTTATTTTTAAATATCCTTGGGTGTGCGCTGCCTCCTTGCTCGCGTTGTGTCCGCGATGCTATTTGCTACGATCTGGCCACTTTACTCTGTCTTTTGGCCTACTACACAGTTGATTTATTCCGCGCGTGGCTATTTACTGTTATTTATATTGCTCTGCGTGTATATATTTTGTGGCGTTCATCCTTGTGCTACAATTCAATTATTTTCCGAGCACTTAATATTTATTTTTCTACTTTTGGGCTCGCTTTCATTTGTTCTTATAATATCTCGATCTTTTGCTATCTCTCGAAATAATATACCGCGTCTACCGAATACCCTCTTCCACCTTCATGAAGTCCTCTTTCGAGACCCCATTATTCCTAAGCTGTTAGTGTACCTGACGACGAAGAATTCTAGAAGCGGTACGTCCTAATTGGCAGGTGACTTTATAGAGGCGTTGAAGCCATTGGCCATAGCACAGCTCATCCAGTGCAGTGACCAACCGCATCAGGCACACAAGACGTTGTTCGCTGTATGGTGAGCTCAATACTGGCCTTCTGGCACTTACCACTTCAGTAAGTCGAGCTAGCTTTTGCATTACCCGCTCAAGAGGGTAACCTGGGGCTAGCTTCCGTTGCGAGATTATTGTGGCCGCAATGGACAAACAACTTTTATCGAGTTTTTAAACCGTTTTTTAAACCAAAAATGTATGTCCTGGTCTCAAATTACCTAAAATTATGTCATATTTTTAAGTTACCAAAATTGTATGATGAGCTTTTAAATCACCCAAAATTTATGTTTTGTACTTTACCAAAAATTCATGCCCTTTTACCGTAATAATTCATGTCCTGTTTTTAAGTTTGTCCAGTTTTCAAGTTGCCAGAAATGCATGTTAAATTTTAAAATTATCAAAAATATATTCTTAATTTTTTTATTTAACAAAAGCTTTTGCAAAGTTTTTCAATGACCAAAGCCTATAGCCAGTAACATNAAAATATATTGTTAATGTTTTTATTTAACAAAAGCTTTTGCAAAGTTTTTCAATGACCAAAGCCTATAGCCAGTTTCTTTTAAAGTGTTCAACTAGCAGTGCTGCTTGGCCTGTTTGTAACAANTAAACCAAAAAAGTATGTCCTGGTCTCAAATTACCTAAAATTATGTCATATTTTTAAGTTACCAAAATTGTATGATGAGCTTTTAAATCACCCAAAATTTATGTTTTGTACTTTACCAAAAATTCATGCCCTTTTACCGTAATAATTCATGTCCTGTTTTTAAGTTTGTCCAGTTTTCAAGTTGCCAGAAATGCATGTTAAATTTTAAAATTATCAAAAATATATTCTTAATTTTTTTATTTAACAAAAGCTTTTGCAAAGTTTTTCAATGACCAAAGCCTATAGCCAGTAACATCAAAAAGTTATTTAAATAAAATCGCAAAGATTTTAAAATCAAAAAGTTTGGAATCACAATTAACCCAATTTAAATCATTTTCCGCTTTGCCTGCCAAGCTCTTCCACTCTAACACTCTTCCAACCATGACAAACCACGTAAACAATGTTATCTTTTATAAGTCATGAGCTTTCCTCTTCTCTTCAGAGGGGACCTCTGAGGGTAAACGCAAAACTAGACAAAACTATCAACTAAAATAAAATCAATGCAGCATTCGATTGCGAGCGCCTAAAAATAGACAACGCTGTTGCAAGTTTATAACGAGTGTGTGTGAGTGTATACGTTGCATTGTCTGCTTGCCAGCACACACATTGCAAGTCGCAAGTCAATTGTTGTTTGTTTTTAATATTCCTTTTATTTTTGTTGCTCCACAGNAATTTAAATCATTTTCCGCTTTGCCTGCCAAGCTCTTCCACTCTAACACTTTTCCAATCATGACACACCACGTAAACAATGTTATCTTTTATAAGTCATGGGCTTTCCTTTTCTCTTCAGAGGGGACCTCCGAGGGTTAACGAAAAACTACACAAAACTATCAACTAAAATAAAATCAAAGCAGCATTCGATTGCGAGCGCCTAAAAATAGACAACGCTGTTGCAAGTTTAGTTGAGTGTGTGAAACTTGTGTGTGTGTGTGTGTGTGTATACGTTGCATTGTCTGCTTGCCAGCACACACATTGCAAGTCGCAAGTCAATTGTTGTTTGTTTTTATTATTCCTTTTATTTTTGTTGCTCGAAATCAAAGCGGCTTAGTGGCTGCTGTTGATGTTATTATTCAATTGTTTTTGTTATTGTTGTTATTATTGTTTTTGCTGTTATTGGCTCTGCGGGTGTTGCTATTGTCACTCGCTCTCACACTGCGGTTGCGGCTGCGTTCGGTGGTTGAGAATTGCGGTGTGCTTTTGCTGTTGTTTTTGTTGTTGCCGTGTCAAATTTTGTTTGCTTTCTTTGCCGCTGTTTGGCTAACATTGGTTTTCTATATATATTTTCAATGTGTAGCGGTTGATTCTGATGGCTTTTACACACACACATACACTTACGTATGTTTTCAAAATCCCCAAGGCTGTGAGTGTGAAAAAAAAAAAAATTTAAAGAAAGTAGCAAAAGTTGAGCGCGAATTAAACATTTTACCACCAAGCCATTTACGCTCTTCAAATTTACCTGAATTTCCCACACTCTCACTGTATACTTATATGGAAAATTTCATCAGTCACCTAAACTAAAACTATCAATCAGTTGCGTGCCGAACTAACAGCAAGCCAACCAATCTTGCCTTCTACATTAAAGCTATCGAAACCGTACGCAAGGCAATACCCCGTTACCAATCATGTTCACCTTCCTCCTCCACACTTGTGTCGTATATCTGTTTTGTGGCACACCAAGCTTCGTGCCACTGCCCTAGTAAGCGCACTTTTACTATTTACTTTCCAAGTTTTCTTTGTGCCATCGCCGCCACAGCGCCTTTCAAATCCTTTTTATTCTGCAACCCTCGTTCGCAAAAAAGGATTTGTGTCATTTCTGCCCTATTTCTGTTTATTTGATTGACTTTTGTATTTGATTTTCTGTAAGCAATGCTCTGTCCCTTTCACCTTCTTCGAAATAGTCGGTATGCCTTCGCCGATTTTCGCTTTTGTTTATCGAATTCATTTATTTGGCGTGTGCTCGTTTCTCTTTTTGCTTCTGTGTCGATGTTTTCATTCATTTTGGCATTGCTCCTCAATGCAAACATAAAATCAAAGAACAATGACGAGCTTATATGGCTATAAATAGATGGAATTACGTATAGATAAAAAGTATAATTCAGAGAGGGCTAGCCAGTCACACGACACCACACCTGCAGCTAGGCAAATATAAGCCTCGAAGAGAGTAGTTTGAGTGACTCATCGCCGCTTATTCTCCAACTTCCACATCTTCATTTAGATACCCTAGGAGGACAAGGTTCCTAGCGCGAATGAGTCTAAGTTTCGAGGACTTAAGGCTGCTCTTCATCTACACGTAGAAGTTCATCGATGAAGACACCTTCGCTTTTCTAATCTCGGCTTTAAAGATTCTAAGTCTAGTACCATGCTCTGTCGGAATCTAAGCGAAGTTCTAAGATCAGAAAGCTTATAACTTACAATTGTGCACTTCTCAAGCGGCTTATGATGTAATTTCTTTAACATGTATGTAGATCAAATTTTTTATTCAAGCTCACAGGACTCCGATCCACATGCCTTACAAGCACAGGAAGGTGGTAGTTTATGAGATTGCCATTGGTTGAATTTGACTTATCAACTGCCATAATCCCACTCTCAATCTTATTTTTAAACCTCGGTATTTCACATTCTTTAACTAAAAGTGGGGAACATTTATATGATTAGAATTTTTTTGGGATAAATTATAATTTTAATTTTTCAAAGATGGTAAAAATCAGCAAGCCTGGAACTCAATAGAAAGAAAAAATAATTCATATTAAANATAACTTACAATTGTGCACTTCTCAAGCGGCTTATGATGTAATTTCTTTACCACGTATGTAGATCAAATTTTTTATTCAAGCTCACAGGACTCCGATCCACATGCCTTACAAGCACAGGAGGGTGGTAGTTTATGAGATTGCCATTGGTTGAAGTTGACTTATCAACTGCCATAATCCCACTCTCAATCTTATTTTTAAACCTCGGTGTTTCACATTCTTTAACTAAAAATGGGGAACATTTATATGATTAGAAATTTTTAGGGATAAATTATGATTTTAATTTTTCAAAGATGGTAAAAATCAGCAAGCCTGGAACTCATTAGAAAGAAAAAATAATTCATATTAATAAAGGTATAGTCCCTCTCTCTTACAACTTTTTTTTGTCCTTTCAGATGCGGCTTCATGTATGGCGAGCTGACAGACAAGGAAACGGTCGCGCGACTGGAATACACATTGGAGAATCAGCAACAAGATCAATTCGAAATTTTACTATATAAAAAGAACAGTGAGTAGTAAAACTGAAGAGGCAACGAAATTTATGTAAAAAAAATTTGCATACGAAAAAATTAAAAAAAAGTAAGAGTAAGTGCTAGCAGCTTGAGTATCTATCCTAAATTTGTGGGAAAGTAATATTTTCCAATAAATCTATCCAAAGTATCAAAGAAACGAAGTACTTGGTTGTAGGCAAAGACGCTTGTGAAATTTTTTTTCTGAATTGTAGGCACGATAAAAATTTGATCTTGAATATTTTGTGAGTATGTAATAATGGAAAGTGAAAGCGGGGCTTACATTTTGGATTCATCAAAATCTGGACATACATTTTTGAAACTTCAAAAGTTGAACTCAGTTTTTGGTCATTTAAAAACTGAATGAACACATTTAGTCATTTAGAGGCAAGACACTAAATTATGGTCATTTATGCCCGGACATAAAATTTATGTCTTGATATAAAATTTATGTGTTAATATAAAATTTTTGTCACGACATAAAATTTATGTCTTGATATAAAATTTTTGTCACGACATAAAACATATGTCCACTTTTTTAAATGACTAAAAATGTGTGCCCAGTCCATAAATTACTAAAAAATAATCTCTAGTTTTTATTTTCCAGCGATGAGTTACTCCTGGGATAATATTTTTGCTGTTGAAAGAAAGAAAAAAATTTTTTCGCGAAAATTCGTTACAATAATTGTTAAAGTATTATTTAACCGTATACATATATGCGTATATTTGTGTAAAGCTAGTAATATACATAAACATCAGAGCGTCGCTTAATATCCTTAACCGCTAGAAGTGACAATTTTCGCATTAAAATAAACGACAGGACACGACAAAAGCCATTNATGTATGGCGAGCTGACAGACAAGGAAACGGTCGCGCGACTGGAATACACGTTGGAGAATCAGCAACAAGATCAATTCGAAATTTTACTATATAAAAAGAACAGTGAGTAGTAAAACTGAAGTGGCAACGAAATTTATGTGACAAAAATTTGTCTACGAAAATGTTAAAAAAAATAAGAGTAGGTGCTAGCTATTAAATTTGTGGGAAAGTAATATTTTTTAAAAATACTATCCAATAAATCTTATTCATACATACATATGTATGTAAACGAAAGTATCAAAGAAACGAAGTAGTATGTACTTGGTTGTAAGAAAAGGCGCTTGTGAAACTTTTTTCTGAATTGTAGGCTCGATAAAAACTTTACTAGATACGAGCAAATATTTTGTGAGTATGTATCAATGGAAGCTTGAACGTGAAAGCGGGGCATACATTTTTAGTAAATCAAAAACTGTACATAAATTTTTTATACTTCACAAGTTGGACATAATTTTTAGTCAATTATGAAACTGACACATTTACTCATTTGAACGCATAACATTAAATTATGGTCATTTATATTCCGACACACAATTTATGTCTTGATAAAAAAAATTTTTTGTCATGACATAAAACTTATGTCCACTTTTTTAAATGACTAAAAATGTATGCCCAGTCCTTAAATTGCAAAAAAATTATCTCTAGTTTTTATTTTCCAACGATGAGTTACTCCTGGGATAATATTTTTGCTGTTGAAAGAAACAAATTTTTTCGCGAAAATTCGTTACAATAATTGTTAAAGTATTATTTAACCGTATATTTGTGTAAAGCTAGTAATATACATAAACATCAGAGTGTCGCTAAATATCCTTAACCGCTAGAAGTGACAATTTTCGCATTAAAATAAACGACATCACACAAAAGCCATGAAACACCAAAATAATTATATCAACAGCCACACTTTAAACTAATTTAATGCATAATTCATGTAGCCGCGAGCATTGCGTTAATAAACAACCTAAATTACATGCAAGTATTAGTGCGCCTCCAGCGCCAGAGGTAGCGGACATAACCGCATTTGGAACACTTACTAACATTGTTTTTTTTTTGTGGAAATTCGAAACAAAAGGTCGCAAAAATGCGCGCCGTATATATATACATAAATGTATACACATGTAAGTGGCACAAAGGTGCATATTTCACTAACAGCAGCAAACTAATTTATAATATTCCGCTTGATGAGCTACCTTTGACTGCTGTGGCGTTAGGCCGCATAACAATCCCAATTACATTCATTACCGTTGTTGCGTGTGTTGTCTACTATGTATGTATGTATATGGTTAACCCTGTATCATATGACATATTTGTAAGTATAGTATATTTGTGCGCTTTTACGTCCGCTTGTTGTTACTACTGCCACTTGCACCGCTAGCTAACAGTAACTAGCTGCAAATGTGTGAGCCTTGCGATTCAGCGGTCGTTCGCCGTGTCGTATACGCCATTAAGTGGGTTAAAGTGGCCCATTAGGAGGCGTCTCCAATGTGAATGAGGTCAACGAGATGCGTAGCACATTGTAAAGCTACACAATGTAGTTGTTGTAGGATAAGTATGGAATCGCGCNTGCGCCTCCAGCGCCAGAGGTAGCGGACATAACCGCATTTGGAACACTTACTAACATTGTTTTTTTTTTGTGGAAATTCGAAACAAAAGGTCGCAAAAATGCGCGCAGCTTATATATAGATATATGTATACACATGTAAGTGGCACAAAGGTGCATATTTCACTAACAGCAGCAAACTAATTTATAATATTCTGCTTGGTGAGCTACCTTTGACTGCTGTGGCGTTAGGCCGCATAACAATCCCAATTACATTCATTACCGTTGTTGCGTGTGTTGTCTACTATGTATGTATGTATATGGTTAACCCTGTATCATATGACATATTTGTAAGTATAGTATATTTGTGCGCTTTTACGTCCGCTTGTTGTTACTACTGCCACTTGCACCGCTAGCTAACAGTAACTAGCTGCAAATGTGTGAGCCTTGCGATTCAGCGGTCGTTCGCCGTGTCGTATACGCCATTAAGTGGGTTAAAGTGGCCCATTAGGAGGCGTCTCCAATGTGAATGAGGTCAACGAGATGCGTAGCACATTGTAAAGCTACACAATGTAGTTGTTGTAGGATAAGTATGTAATAGCGTTAAGCAGATGTGAAAGGGCATTGGTCGTTCGACAGCTGTTGCACATGGAAATGAGAGTAGAAAACCCATTCCGAGAGAACCGGATTTATGCATGCATGTGAAATTGATAATCAGGGAAGAAGCGCTAATAGCCAACAAGTACCAGCGTCATTGTAAATCCAAAATTCTGGTTTTGAGGGCTGCAAAGAAACCATGAATAGGAAACGTTTCTGACACCATAACAAATCCAAAGAGAGAGAGAGAGAAGCTGAAATCTTTACGAGCCCTTCAGCTAATGAAACAGAAGGCGAAGACTGCTGCGACTTCAATAAATGAATTCAAAAGGCGTTTGTGAATTGCATAGATACATTTTGCTAAAAAGCCGAATGAAATAATTGGCTCATATTGCATACTTTTATGCGCACAATTCGCCTATTTATTAGAAAATTGTGGTGAGTAGTACTTAAGACATACTCAAATGCACTTAAGTAGCTGCTTCACAAAAGCGAGCGTTCAACCTTTCAGTGCCTTATCTAGTTATTGCAATCGCATATTGGTAAACGCCCGCGGGCGCATCTACATACGTTTTACTTCCACGCCTTTTCACTTGACACCGCAATATGCTTCCTGTTCGCATTGCCATTGAATTCGATTTAGTCATTTCCGTTGGCTGATAAGCGATGAGCGATAAGCTATGAGCACTGGAAATGCATTTTACTGTTGCTTCCGCTGGCGCGCTGGTGACATTTAAGGCATATGGGAAGCGAAAGGGTGGAGGGGAAAACGTCAACGATTTAAAGGGGAAAGTGGGCGCTTTAAATTGCAGTAATTACATTAATTTTTCATTGTACTTCCTAACTCGTTACACTTCATTATTTTAAGCCTGCAGCGCTGCTTTGTTCAGCAATAAATTTAAAATTTTTTTGTGGCATACTTTTAGGCGTGAAAAAATATCACAACGGGTTAATTTAGATATTTCACTGCCTTGCCATTAAAACCGCTTTATTTAATAATAATATTTTTTCACAACTACACAACTTTTCATGTTGTGGCGAGAATTAAATAACCGCTGCATACATTTAGGATCAACGCAAAAAATTATTTATGAGTTATTCACCACAAAATGTTTGTATGTATGTATGTATGTCTAAATTAGCCTTCAATCGGCCAATATCAATAGCAACAGGCAGAAAATTATTCAATAAACCCGAATTCTCTAATTAACAATGGCTTTTTGTTTAAATTTTGTTTGCATATTTTATAATTGCATACATTTGGGATGGCTACAAAACATTTAGTTTGTTTTCTGGTATGGGTGCATGCATTATTTGTTTACTTTTTCATAATTGCTTAAAATAATAATTTGTGTATCAATTACCGAAAATGCGATGCAAAACTGTGTGCCGCAGCAGCTTCGGTTATATTTATGTGCATATTTTTAGGCATATAACAGAATAATATGCAATAAAGCATTGTGAATAAGTAAATAGTGTCATGCTGTGTGCTTAATTCCATAGAAACAAATCAATGAACTGGAAAGAAATTCAATTTGCCAATAAATACAGAATTTGTTTGCGTTGTTGGCAAATACAAAGTTGTTTTGACTTTTCATTGCACATTTATTTGCGGGCATAAAAGAGCAGAATTGTAACAAAAAATGTGGGGAATTATAGTCGAATACACACATTTATTTACAAGACAATGGAGTACAGATGAAAATTTTTAAGTAAATAATTTATTTAGCATTGGGATTGTTGGGTAAAATTTCAAAAGAATTGCGTTAACTTTATTTCAATTTCAAGTTTATGTATGCGTACATACTGAACCTCACCCCTTTGTGTAGGCAGAAAATTTCACTCCGAGAAATATTTATTGTACTCATTCCGCAGTGTTAAATAGAGTCCGAAAAAAGAAAAAGCGGTCCCATTATGTCGTAACAGTAGCGGATAAGTGAAAAGAGGCTTCTGAAATGCGTTTTAAGATATCACTATGCAAGATTTTCC